TCTTTTCAAATTACCAAGCAACACAGTGGGTAATTTCTTGGGGGGGGGGAAATCAGTAAAGTAATTCAGTCAGAAATCCATCTTTACAACCATTAAGAAAAATTAAACGAACTAGAAAAATGTGTAAACTGGCTTAGTTGATCTTGTCCGAACTGAGAAATACAGAATTTGCCAATAGGAAGACTGAAAGTTCACTTTAAAATCAGAAAGACAAAACAACAACTTTGATTAATCAACTCTAATACCAACCAACACCAAATGAAATTGTCCAATTCACCCCTTTTCCTACCTCTACCTTCCCTCAATTGTCCAGTAAAGACAGAATTCCCCACTGTCATCTTAATTGCCAACGCTACCTCCAGAGAACTCACACGTTTAATTTCACAGGCACTCAGCATTGCTCCAAAATAAACATCTATTCTCCAAGGCCAGAAAGCAAGGCAGTATTTTGATCTCACATGTGCTAGAATGGGAACATTAGCACAGCTGCCTTATCTTCATGCAGAAGTGTGCCACGGTCCGTGCTAATTCTGACCTCCCACATATTTCTTTTCCAGTTTCCCATGCCTCTGACCCACACACGCTAAGCGGTAGCACAAGTTTTTGCTGCAGAATTCCAGGTTTTCTACACTGCTCATTTGATGCTTCTGTGGGGAATGAGCTACATGCAAAAGTAAAAGCTCTATCTGCTAATAACAGAGAGAAGAGATAAGTCTGCATATTTTTTCTCCCCTTACCTTCATCTCCCACTATCAGACAACACCCTTAGGTGTTTTGTACAACAGAGTGGAATTATCAAAGACTAAATTAATTCATGTGTCTGATGAGATTTTATTAAGTGGTTAAACATCAACCACCATCACACCCTAAACTGGAAGAAAAAAAATTCCCGTAATACCACATCAAATGGAATGTCTTCTAGAAATCTTACGAGCTGCTTAAGAAATGAAAAGGGTTAAGTATTTAAACTTCCTTTAATTTCTAGCTGAGCCATAAGAAACAGAAAAGTGTGATAGTGAGCAATTCATTTAGAGGAGCAGAATCACATTGCACCTAAAGAGCTTTCTATGCTACTACAAACCCATGTTACAAGCTTAAGAGCATTATAGGCCATTCATTCACTAATTTACAGTCACTGGTTCACTATTTCTAGATTTAAGGCACAGATTAAGTCTGCCAAGCTGACTAACAGAAATTAAGTAGTCCCATTATTTGTAAAATCTGAGTTTTAAAAGAGGTCAGTTACTACCAATAAACACCCCTGTTTTTTAAAGATAATGCTGCAGATGTACAATTATGCTTCAAAGACAACTGCATGGCTTGCAATAGCTCTCATTAAGAATTTAAAACATAAATTATAGACGACCGAGACAAGGAAGCTAAGAGTACATTCACTTGCTTCTACAGATTTATTTAATAAAAGCCTCCAGAAACCACCTAGAAATCTGAGTACTTAGTAACAAAATGGGAAAAAAAATAAAAACGGACCCAAGATAAGATTTCTTCATGGTGAGGATGACTTGCACTTGCATAAATGCCTTTTATCCAGATGGATACAAAACCGATTTAGAGCTATAGGAGCCTCTTCAATCACGAGCATGGCTCGCCTCTGGTGTATAAAGTAGAAGGACAGTGACTACATGGGGTAATTGCACGAAGTTTGGGCCTGGTGTTAAATTGTGGAACTAAGCCACAAATGGAATTTTCAGTCAGTTGAAGTTATCTACCTGACACCTGGTATAGCCCAATTTTCACTCGCTCTCTCTCAACCTATTAAACACAACAAAGGTTAACAAGAGCATGGTAAATCTTCTACTTAACAGAATGTAATGAGTTATTTTCACTAGGGAGTCTGGAGGGGAGGGGGGGAAAAAAAAAAAAAAAAAAAAAGGAGAAACCTTAAGATTTTAAAACTATGTGGGAAACGGAGAGGCAAAATAACTTTCAAGGCATGGCCAAGACATCAAAACCCCTCAAATTTACACTATTCCTACCCAGGGCTGGGTTCTCCAGGTAATCAACTCCTCTAGGAGAGCGAGATACTACTCTGGACAACTTAAGGGGAAACTTTGCCTAATGCACGAGCACAGCTAACCAGAGATGACAGACTATATAAAGCCCTCAAAACAGTGATGATATATGGTAAATTAATAATATGCTGCCATTTAGAACAATCAAAACTAAAATACAGCAAAGACCCCGTCTTCAAACGTAGCAAAACCAGATGGGATTAAGATAGATAATCTTTAACAGTGGGATGCAGGGTTAAGAGGCTGCCTGAAGATACTTAATTGTTTTGTTCTGGAAGATGGAAGAAATTATATGATGAAGTTGATCAAGTTATCTGATGCAAGTCAGGCATTCTTCTCCCATACTACAACATGAGATTAGGAATTTCAAGTACACACATTTTACACCATTTAAAGTACCAGCGGTTACTGTCACACCACTGACCGCAACAGAAATAAAACACGAATAATTTAAGATACAAAATTACATGAAGTCCAATTTTATTTTCACCCCGACATATCCTTAAAACAAACAGCAACTGGCTAGTTAGGGATTTTTTTCCCATTTGCTCTGTGTTCACCTATGATGCAATTTCTGAGCCTTCCTCTAAACACTTGAGGACGAAAGACTAGAGAGCCTCCAAGCTGCATTTAGTTCATTTTTCCACTGAATCTTCTGGAAATGGCAAAACTCCCATGTTTTTCAATTCAGAATAACACACCGAAAGGGAAAACTCTCTCAGATTTGTCACTGTAGACACAGCAGGACATTATTACAGCCTCGATAACCCTTACTTTAAGCTAAAGCTTTCAAAAACACCTTTAGCCTTTCCTTGCCTATTTAAGGGCATAGTAATTACCTCGTTGTAGACCTGGGTTTTAGCGTTAATATGGCTCCCTTCCGTATTAACTGAAAAATGGCTTAGCTCCACATTTGGGCTTGGGCACAGAGACGTGCTTGTCACTCGAAAACAAGTTAGGCGCAGGCCCCAATAGAGCAATAACTTTCTTGTTATGCGGTTTGCATGTTTTCAGAGCTGGGCATCAGATAAAAAAGTTGCCACATTAAGCGCTGTGAACCCGAAGTGTTGCAAAGTCCCAAAGATTAACGCTGCAGGAGCAAAGGAGGAGCCTGGGCGGCCTGTCTGGGGAAAAGGCCTCGCCTGGGAATTGCAACACGCCGCCCGCACACGTTGCAAGCGGGAGGCGCGGGGGGACACCAGGCGATCCGCGGGGCGCAGGCACTCACCGTGAGGGTGTCATCGATGTAGAGGGGGATCTGCCTCTTCTCGAAAGGGAATTCCTCCTCCCCGTCTCTGCAAACCGCGACCAGCCGCGCCATCTCTGCCCGCTGTTGCTGCTTCCTCCCCGCTCCAGCCTGCGAGCAGCCAAACCCCCGGGGAGGTAAATACCCGCCGCGCTTCCCCGGCACACTTTCACCAGGCCCGGGAACAAGCCTGCTTTACCCCATCGCCTGATTCACCACGCCGAGCCCCGGCCCCGCCGCCCAGCCCACGCCCGGGCGCG